CTTACAATTGCAAAGACGGAAGCCATGAGTGGTCGGAGAATGAGCACTAGCAATATCCATGACAAATGTCGAGAGTGGGCAGTGAAGGCATTTGCGGGAGGCGTTACGTTTCTTCTTGATGTATAGTGGCAAAAGATCTGGCACTAATGGGAAGAGGATCCATAGAGAGGATTTGGCATCGGATGTTGAAGAAGGACTCATTAAGGTCCATGAGAAGTTGAAAGAGCATTTCGGAGTTGATTGTCTCTTCTGCCTTTTTATGAGCACCATATTTACAGGATCTAGGATTGGTGAGCAGGGGGAGTTCATCCCATGATCCTTTGATAGTATTGTAATACAGTGTAATAGACATGGTGTTCTATTTGAGATTAACCAAATCATGTTGGAAGCAATAAAGATGCGGGTGATAGCTTTGAGAAAATCGATTGTTCAAATTGAGCCAAACATCATAGGGTTGAGAACAGTAAATTAAGCAATGTCATAAGGGCTTATCAATGGAGTTGAAGAGCTAAGAGATGACCATATCACTGCAACGATCCCAGAGGGTAGCAATCTGAGTGTTTCCAGGCAGCATAGTTGTCCAGTAAGGAGATCGGGAACTAGCACAGCACCAGATTATCAGAAGGGGTTAAGAAATATGGGGAGGGAAGGTCATTGATCAATTGTGAAGGTGTGGAAGATGTGGAATCAGACACGGTGGAGGTCGGGTTTGGTTTTACGGAAGCTAGAACAGGCCGCAGTGAACATGTATTACTATGCCATATTAAAATTGATACAAAGAAATGCACAGGGAATGCAGTATTTCATTATTCACTAGTGTATGATTTACACGGATTTCTTACATATTTGAACATTGAAACTTGAGTTATACATGGTAAGTAAATCATCTAAGGAAATTAAACTGTACATGGAGAAAGTTTGCTTTATTTTGTGCAATGAACGTGATTTGTGCTAATTTTGTGTTGGAGTTTATCCATGTGACTCATAATAATTAATGATCAAAATATTTGTTGAAAACACCACGTTATACTAGAATACTTTTAATTTTTTTCTGCCATCCTAGTATTCACATCATCACCAAAAGCTAGTTTACAAACACCATTTGCCCCTAGTATTGTTCAATTCTTTATCACACTTGAAGATTATTTGCATCCATATCCGAGCTACAATTCTCTACCTCGTAATTTCCATTACTGCCCATTTAATTCGTACCTTTTCAATATAAGTTTTCTGTGGTTTTATCCCATTAAAATCTTTAGTTTTCAATACAAAACTAGCTAAGTGATTAAAACTCAGTAGCCAAAAGCATCAAAGCTTCGACCCCAGTAGCATGATATGTATGTGTTCAAGAGAGAGGAGAGGAAATTAGAAAACCTTGAGCAAGAACAATGGAAGACTTTTCTAGTGCAGAAAAAATAATTAGGGCAATCTCAGCATCACAAAGAGTAGAGGGTTCTTGAGTCTTCTTGAAAACCCCTCTTCTCTTCAATAATGTCACTTGGAGTTGGTGTGCCGTCAAGTTATCAATCTTCTTGATCTGAATCTTCTTTCTCGCCATTTTCACTGTACACTCACTCCAAACAAATATTATATGTCGTTAGAACAATAAGAAATATATAGAGATCGAGGGATGAGAAAGAACATTGGTCTTTGATAAAAATAAGGAACAAAGAAACATAGCAACCCCAAAAAATATGGAAATAACAGTTAGAAGAATCATTAATTTTTGGCATAAAATAAAAATCTTCAACGGTATCACATTTACTAATTCAGGGAAGAAATGAGAATATCCACCTGCAGAACTGAAACCCTAGAAAGAGAAGGTAGGGAGCATCTGAAATCAGAAACCAAGTGAAGTGGCACAGAAAATATGAATAAAGTTAGTTTGCAAATTGCCAAAGGAGTGAAGAGAGCGAGCGAGCGAGCTAGAGGAGTAGGTTTACTGAAATTACCTTTACGAGACGTTGGTTTTGTTGAACCTTAAAACTAGCCCCACACCTCTGGACAAAATTCTATCAATGATACTATAAATTGTATAATTAATTTATTTTATTTGTACATTACTAATTACACCATATAATTAATTTGATTTTATTAATTATTTTAACAGTTATAAACTTATATTAAATTCAACTGAATTGTAATATTTGAACCTACTTTATCTTAAATAAAATAATACAAAATCCCCTCCTAGAATAATCGAAATAAATAAAGCCTAAATATTCATGGACTAAGTTCTTGAGTTGATTGGAGAAGGATAAGAATGCGGATATGTTGGCAATTGCATCTAGCCATGATATTATATATCGAAAATGCTTTAACTGTCAAATTTTAAAAAAAAAAAAAGGAAATTTTTATTGAAGTAATCTTTCCTTAATAGAAAATATAAAATATCCATTTTTTTTTATTTCTTATTTTTTTAAAATCACCCAACTGAACGTACTAAAATTTGAGTTCACCACTGCTCAAAAACTAGCACATTATCGTCTTCAATTTCATGCCAAGTAAACAAAATTCTACTTTTATGTACCTCATATAATTTCCTTGGATACGTATGATATCAATAGCAAATTCAAACGGAAAGCAAATGTCAGAAGTCACGTAAATCCACAACATTAATTGGCCCTTAACACTCAACTCCCTTGCAAAAGAATTTATAATACATCCTATTGAGAAAAATAGACAATTTCAGTAGGAGAAAGGTAAGTTGCCAAAATTAACATAAGCATACAGTCAAAAAGATATGAGACTACACCCTACTACTACCATGCTTTTCAGTGTAACTTTGAATTAGGTTAGATGAATCTAATGAACATTTCGGTTAACGTCTGAATAATCAGAAATCCTATCTATTTATTTTTATTTTTTTACCATAAAAATACGAACTAAAGAGTTTTTGTCTCTCCGGATCATTAGTTTCTAAGAGGTTAGAAGTATATCTTCGCTTGACAGAACGCGAATGCGCATTTATTTGATCTTGATCCTTGTGGAACGAAAGTAAGACTAGACTGCATCTGCACGCCCTCCTAATAATATCTATAAATGACTTGATTTTGGTAATAGATGAACATTACCATATGTAAATTCAGGTGACAGGTGAATGATATACATCGGTACTATCAGAGCCATGAGAATTGGTGATAAACTTGGATGAATTTCTTGGCTCAATACCATGTCCAGTGCCTTCAGATTTCTGCGTAAACAGTTCACTCAACGACCTTGAGAATGCAAGAATTTACGACTGAATTCCAGTGCATGCAGTGCGAGAAATGATTTATAAATTGGAAAATAAAATATCAACTCTCACTTCTGCTTGCTGTTTCAACTTGGCATTCCTTCCATTAATTTCGATCCCTGCATGTCAAAAAAGTTAACTAATTGTTGAGTAGTAAACTTGATTTTTGGATCAAACAATATGAGCTTAAGGATTTTGCTTATAGGCCCAAATCAATTAAAATGCCCAACATGCATAGCATTTCTAGAAGCATTATCTAGAAAAATCTATATAAATATCTACTAGAAAAATCTATATAAATATCTAAGTAAGATATGTAGTTTTATAAAGAATATATAGAGAATTCTAGGAAAATATCTTGATATGTGGTCCAGGTGTCTCTAGAAAATGCGTGGACTAGAATCTTCTTGTAAACACTATATAAAGGGGTAGTGCCCTCCATTTTGTAATAAGTCAAAAAGTGTGTAAAGTCTTGAATTTGAGAAATACAAGTTTCCTTTTTTCACGACACTCGAGTAATTGAGAAGATACTTAGGTCTTTAGATTCTAAATTTGACTACATAGTTGTAGCCATTGAGGAATCTAAAGATCTAAATAGTATGAGTGTCGATCAACTCATGGGATCTTTACAAGCTCATGAGGAAAGACTAAGGAAGAAAGTGAAAGAAGAGCCATTAGAGCAAACTCTTCAAACAAAACTTACTTTGAACGAGGGTGAAGGAAGGTTCAATAGTAGAAGAAGCCAAAGTGGAAGAGGACGAGGACGAGGCCAAGATCGAGGAAGAATTGCATTCTACAAGGAGGAAAGAAGACAAAGTTCGTTTTCTACTAGAGGTCGCGGAAGAGAAAAAGGTACGAGGAAAAATGAAGGACCAAGGTATGACAAATCTCAAATTAAATGTTATAATTGTCAAAAATTTGGTCATTATGCTTCAGAATGTAGAAATATTACTAACTAAGTTGAGGAGAAAGCTAATTACGCTTGTCGGGAAAGTGAAGTAGATCCTGCACTACTATTGGCTTACAAAGGTGAAGAGAGCAGAGAAAAGAATACTTGGTATTTGGATACAGGAGCAAGCAACCATATGTGTGGAAGGAAAAACATGTTTGTGGAGTTTGATGAATCAGTAAGCGGTAACATTACCTTTGGAGATGAATCCAAGATCCCAGTGAAAGGAAAAGGTAAAATATTGATCCGCTTAAAAAAGGTATGCATCAGTTTATCTCAAATGTCTATTATGTGCCCAATATGAAGAATAACATTTTAAGTTTGAGATAACTCTTAGAGAAGGGCTATGATATTCATTTGAAGGATCATAGTCTTTCAATAAGAGATCAAAGAGAAAATTTGATTGCAAAAGTCCCTATGACAAGAAATAGAATGTTTGCGTTAAGCATTCAAAATGATGTCGCTAAATGCTTAAAAGCTTGTTTTAAATATTCATCTTGGTTTTGGCACTTGAGATTTGGGCATCTTAATTTTGGAGGCTTAAAGTTGTTGAGTAAAAAGAAAATGGTGAAAGGTTTGCCTCCAATAAATCACGCGGATCAATTATGTGAAGGATGCTTACTTGGAAAGCATTCGAGAAAAAGTTTTCCAAAAGAAGCATCTACAAGAGCTAAGAAGCCGCTAGAACTTGTACACTCCGATGTTTGTGGGCCAATTAATCCAAGCTCTCTCGGTAAGAGCAATTATTTTGTTCTTTTTATTGATGATTTAAGTAGAAAGACTTGGGTCTATTTTCTTAAACAAAAATTGGAAGTTTTTGAAACTTTTAAGAAGTTTAAAGCTCTTGTTGAAAAAGAAAGTGGATATAGTATAAAAGCCTTGATATCGGATAGAGGAGGAGAGTTCACCTCCAAAAAGTTTGAGAAATATTGTGAGCAGAATGGAATTCGTCGTCCATTGATGGTTCCATACTCTCCACAACAAAATGGAGTAGCAGAAAGAAATAATAGATCCATTCTTAACATGACCCGCTGCATGCTCAAAAGTAAGAGATTGCCCAAAGAACTTTGGGCTGAAGCTGTTAATTGCGCCGTGTATCTGTCTAACCGATCACCTTCTAGAAGTGTGTGGAATAAGACACCACAAGAAGCATGGAGTGGAAGAAAGCCCAGCATCTCTCACTTACGAGTATTTGGGAGCATTGCATATGCTCATGTACCAGATCAAAAACGGTCCAAGTTAGATGACAAAAGTGAAAGGTATGTCTTCATCGGCTATGACTCTCACTCTAAAGGCTACAAGTTGTATAATCCAAGCAATGAGAAGATCACCATAAGTAGAGATGTCGAGTTTGATGAAGAAGGAGCTTGGGATTGGGGTGTCCAAGAAGAAGACTATGACTTCTTACCATTCTTTTATGAAGAAGAACAAAAGAATGGAGAGCAGCAAGAGATTATCAGTCCACCTCTATCACCTACTCATGGAAATGCTTCTCCATCATCTTCACAAGGAGAAAATTCAAGCGAAAGGACACCACGGATGAGGTGCCTATAAGAGCTATATGAGGTAAACGAAAATCAAAATGATCTCACACTTTTTTGTCTTTTTGTCGATTGTGAACCAATAGGGTATGAAGAAGCGGTACAAAATAAAAGATGGAGAGATGCTATGGATGAAGAGATTAAGGCTATAGAGAAAAATGACACGTGGGAGCTGACAACTCTTCCCAAAGGAAAGAGAGCAATCGAAGTTAAGTGGGTGTACAAGGCAAAGAAGAACGCTAAAGGAGACGTAGAAAGATACAAAGCAAGATTGGTTGCCAAAGGTTACAACAAACGATCGGGAATTGATTATGAAGAGGTATTTGCTCCTGTTGCTCGTTTAGAAACCTTAAGATTAATTATCTCTCTTGCAGCGCAAAATAAGTGGAAGATATTTCAAATGGACGTGAAATCAGCTTTTCTAAATGGTTATCTCGAAGAAGAAATCTATGTGGAGCAACCAATGGGCTATAAAGTAAAAGGACATGAAGGTAAAGTCTTGAAACTAAAAAAGGCTTTATATGGGTTGAAACAAGCTCCAAGGGCATGGAATAGTAGAATTGACAAGTATTTTCTAGAAAATAACTTCACAAAATGCCCTCACGAGTATGCCCTTTATACAAAGGTAAATGAGAAAGGAGATATTTTGCTTGTTTGTTTGTATGTAGATGATCTTATATTTACAAGAAATAATCAAAGTATGATCACTGAGTTTAAGAAGGTCATAGCTCAAGAATTTGAGATGACGGATATCGGCCACATGGCCTACTATCTTGAGATAGAGGTAAAGCAAATGGAGGACTGCATTTTCATCTCACAAGAAGGATATGCAAAAGAAATTCTAAAGAAATTCAATATGGAGGACTGTAAGCCCGTATGCACCCTCGTCGAATGCGGAATCAAGTTGTCGAAGAATGATGAAGGTGAAAAAGTAAATCCAACACTTTTTAAGAGTCTTTTTGGAAGTCTAAGATATTTGACGTGCTCAAGACCAGATATCCTTTTTGGAGTTGGGCTCATTAGTCGCTATATGGAGATACCTACCATGACCCATATGAAAACTGCAAAGAGAATTCTTCGCTACATCAAAGGTACGCTTGATTATGGCTTAATCTATTCATCATCTAATGAGTTCAAACTTGTTGGATATAGTGACAGCGATTGGGGCGGAAATAGTGATGATAGAAAGAGTATGACTGGGTACGTGTTTTACTTGGGT